ATCAAATGATATATATTTATTATTACTAAATAAATAAAATTTATATATTATTAGTATTTTAATATTATTGATAAATTAATATCAATAATATTTTTAGTATATTTATAGATAAACTAATAATTTGATAAATATGACTTAGTATATATTAATATATTTTTACAAAAATATAAATATATAAGAAAATATATGTATATTTCTAATTAATATACTTATATTTTTGTAAAAGTATATTAATATATAATAAATTATATTTATCAAATTATTAGTTTATCTATAAATATACTAATAATATTATTGATATTAATTTATCAGTAATATTATAAAATTAATAATATATAAATTTTATTTATTTATTAAAAATAAATATATATCATTTGATACATTGAAGAAAATTATAATATGCGTTAACTTGGTTAGACAAATAATTATATAATTTTAAAACATTATATATATATGTATATTAAAATTATTAAATTTTTAATGAGAAAGACTAAAATCGTAAAATTATGATATTTGAGAGACTAAAATTGCTCAATTAAAAATTAAAGGACCAAAATCACACAATTACAACCCTTTAAGGACTAAAATTATCCAATTAAAACTTTAAGGATTAAAATCGCATAATTACAAATAGATAAAAATGTAATTAGGCCTAAATTTAATGATTACACGCCATTAGTATAAAAATTTTTATACAACCAACTAATTAGAAACTATAATTAATATGATTTTAAAGTATTTATTATAAAACATAGCGAGTTATAACATACATTATAATTTATACGATCGGATGATTATAAGTAAATAACCTATTTCTTAAAAAAATTTGTTGAATGACTAGAATTTGATTGTTGAATTATCACACTCCAAGGTTACTAAAAAAATTGATCCAATATTGAATGTAAGCAGTTTAATTTGAATCCGTGTTTGTTACTTAAGGAATGAGTCACCTTACATTCCATGAGTTGAAGATGCAATTACATAGCAACAACTGGGTATCTTAAAATTACAGCTAGCATGAGGTGGATTTTGCCTACTAAGCTTGAACAATTGGCTGTAATTGGAAATAGAAAATGGAGACATGAACTTTTATGGGTATCTATCGTGCTAGAAAACACTAAACAGAGAGATAGTATAATATATTCTGACCCATATCCTTATATGCTTGTTGTCCAGTTCAGTACAACTATTTCTATCTTGCTACTGTTCTCAGCCTGCTCAGGAAACTATTGTTTCGGACATTTGCTATTAAAGAAATTAAATAATCCAAAGTCCAAACATAACGACAAAGCTTGACTTTGTATAATAGCTACCATGTATAATCTTTTTGTAAATTACAACTATTAAATATGATTATTGTGGGATCTTCTGCATATATCTTTAACTTAGCAACTGTTGAGTTGCATAGAGACATTAATCTGAACAGCTGCATAATTCATAATTTATGTCTAACTAAAAAAAACATGCTTAAACCTAACAAACACATGTTATTAATTATTATATTTATCACATAATTTATTTATTAAATTTAATTAAATGAAATAAATATCTACAAAATTTGAATGAAAATCACTTACTATTAGGATTAACACTTTAATCCGTTATATCAATCCCTTCTGTTAATATTTTTATCTAATCAATTTAGTATAATATTTTTTGGTTATCTTCTTAATCGTTTTCTGTTTTTAAGCTTATACTAGCTTTTGTATTTAAACAATAAAGATTGTAAATTGAAAGTGGATTGATGAATAATAAGATGAAAATTTTCTCTTCATGATTTCTGTGAATTCAAAATGTTGATATTAAAATTTTCCTCTTCATGATTTCTGTTGATATGCTGATACTTACTAATATATGTCTACAATACTTATGAATGAAAATCGCTTATTGATGTGTGTTATTGAGTTACTAAGAATTATTTTTGAAGTAAGTGATTCTCTTCTTATATACATTAAAATTAAAAATAAATGTGCTCTTTAAAATCACTAGTGTAACATTTATATAAATATACCGATAAAAATAGTTTTTCCTTAGATTGTATTAACTAATAAATGTGGCCACGCTATACATGGATTTGTATGTGATAATAATAATATAATTAAAGTCTAAATATGCTTTTAGTTTTTATAAAATGAATGAATTTTAATTTTAGTTTATGAATCTTTTTTTCCAAGTTCTTAATGAATATATCAAATTTTTAAATTTTTAAAAAATTAAAAAACCAATCAATGTATAAAATAGTTTTATGATTATTCGTCAATTTGAATTAATCACTACAAGAAAAACTCAAATCCGTCGGAAAAAAAAATTTCGACGGAAAATTTTCGACAGATAAAAATCCGTCGGAAAATGTATATTTCCGACGGAAAATTTCTGACGGATATAAATTTATAGATTAAAAACTTTAAATTCAACGGTTGAATTATTAAAATTTAATGTAAAACATGAATTATTGAACGGAGTAAGTCGTCTAAGTAGACTTACTCCGGAATAAACGAATCCCTAGGGATGGCAATGGGGCCCCATGGGGGCGGGTAGTAGTAAACCAGCCCCGCCCCCGCCCCGCTGGATGAAAATTGGCTCCATATCCACCCCATATTCGCGCGGGTATTCATTAAGCGGGTATCCATGAATTTCTTAAATACCCACGGATATCCATGAATATTTATAATTTTTTTAAGAAATTAAAAAAATCATATTATAAATATTTATAATTTTTTTAAGTTTATATTTAATATCATTGAAATATTAAAAATAAAAATTTAGTGTTAATTTTGAATGTGTATTTAACATTAATTTTGTTGAAATAATAATAAAAATGCAAGATAATCAATAACTTAAAATACATTAATCTCACAAGTAAGTTAAAGTTTCATCATAAAACTACAATAATTTAATCTCATAATTCCAAACAAAATTAAACGACTTAAAATACATAAATCTTATTGGTCCAATTAAAGCTAGAAAATTAGTCAAATTACATCTAACATAATTCTATAACATGCTTAACACATGTTGGTAACTTCATCAACCTCACTTTTGTAGGAAAATAAGATGAGAAAGTGTAGTTTTAGGGTTATGTGGTACAAGGATAATTAGGATATTTAAGAAATATTATTAAACAGGTATCCGCAGGTATGGATATCATCATACCCGCCCCCGCCCCATTTATAAACGGGTAAAAAATTATCTGTTCTCATTATCCGCGGGTACCTAATTAGGCTATTCATTTATTATTCGTAACGAATTTTACCCGCAGATACCCGCGAGTGCGGATATTTTTGCCATCTCATTCCCTCCTCATATATATATATATATATAGAAAATGCTTGCATATAATTCTAATATGTTTTTGTTGTTATTTTAGTTACTTAGCTGTAAAGTATTCAGATCTATTAGATCATTATAAAAATTTATTTTTCAAAAATTAAATATTAAATATATTTTTTAAAAAACATTTCATGCTGGCATAAAAATAAATCATAATTTAATTTCATAATATTATAATAAATAAAAGAGTTTTCAGATGGCCTAAATTTTTAAATATAAATCACGTTGAATTAATTAATTAATTTCATTAAACTATAGTTAATTTTTTCCCCATAGAATGAAGAAATTAAAATTTATAGATGATAAAAAATACACGTTTGGATTTTTATTTATTCTTAAAATTCTGATTTTGAACAAAATATTATACGTCAATTATTGCTATTATATTTTTTTAGATAATAGTGTTTAATTGTAATAGAAGTGAAATCACGACTTCATTACTTGATTGTTATCTCTACATCAAAAGTTAATATCGATTCACATGAGTAATAATAATTTATATTTTTTAATTAAATTATTTGAAATTGAACTTAAATATGAAATAAATTATGTTGATATAAAAAAAATATTTAATTTATCATTATTTTTTAAAAATATTTTATACCAATATCATTATGAACTGAATTGATATATATATATATATATATATATATATATATATTGTAGAGATATATTTTGTTCAATGAATGAAGAATTTACGAGTATTTTATATGATGTTTTTAAATAAATAATTGAAAAACATTTTACATCAATAACATATCTAACAAAATAATTTTTAAAATATTAATAAATAGAATTTTTGGAAAGATATTTTTAAATATAAAATCAAAATATTATATATTCAGAACTTCTAATTTAACTGATGGATATATTTCTTACTTCACAAGTGGATAAAGAATCGTGTAATTTTTGAAGATATCATCCATAAGGATTTGTCGATATTTATATTTTTTTTCTTCTAGTTCAACTTGTAATAATAACTATACACATATTTATATACTTCAAGGATCATGTAATTAAAATAAATGGTTAATGATAAAATTGATTTAAGAGAATATGTTGTAGATTCAAGTTAACAAGCTCAATACAAGATAGTTTGGGATTAAAATGTACTTGCACACAACTTATGCTTTTCAATGATTTTTACATATAAATTTAGTTCCTCATAGTCCCACATCCATTATAATTACTCAAGTTGATTCCTCAAACTTGATTGTCTAAGAATTTAACTTTGATCTATGATTCCTTAATGATCAAGGTCAGATTCTTGCATTAAGCATGAGAATGTAAATAGCTAACAACTCCAAATTTATTCGTAACACTTGGAGTTGCTAGGTGAGTTGATTCAAACAAGGTTTAGAAAATGTTTTCCAGTTAGATTCATGGTCATAAATCATAAGACGAGTGATCAAATTGACTTAAGCATTAAGGTAGAACCAAAACACAATATGAAAAATTGAATTACATGGATGAGATTTGGTAGAAAAAACTTGTAGGAGTGATTGTAGTGCTCTTCCAAGTTCCATCTTCATGTCCACATATTTCTTGAGGTTGAAGGTTGATTAGTAAACACGGTTCCAAGCTTCAAAAGCTTAGAGAAGAAATAATGGAGGTGCGGTCTTTTTCTTGAAGGAAAAGAAGAAATAGTGAACCAAGGCACAAATGAAGAATTCCTTTATGAAGGTTCTTAAGGAGAGAACTTTCTCCATGGTTTTGGACTCTTGATTAGAGAGAATTTTCTGAAAAATTTTGATCTCATTAATGCTAAAAGTGAGTATAATGGTAAGAGAAAGGTTTATATAGAGTAGAGAAAACTTGTGGAGCAAGCTAGGCTAACCATGGTTCAAAGGAACCCTGATTGGCTTAACTTGACCGTCCACCATGATTTGGGAGGCTTGTGTAGCAAGCTTCTAACTTAGTAGCTTGGAAAGCAAGCTAAGTTAGAAGCTTGTAGCACAAGTTTCCCAAGTGTACAAGGTAAGCTAAGGAATCCGACCAAAGAATGGGATGGGCGGCCAAGGTGCCTTGTTCCATATTTAATCTGAACCAAGAAAATTGGAATTGGTTTAGTTAGGTTCACCAAATGGTGGTGAGACCTAGTTAAATCAATTCCTTGGAAAATATGGAGCAAAACAAGCCTAATATGTAAAATTTGACCTAGGCCTAACTATGGCTCAATTACTAGTTGCACCTACACACTTTGCTAATTGTCACCCCACTTCTACTACTGAAAATACAAAAATGAATGACCCTTAATACAAGGTCAAATAGAGCAAAAGTCTTCAAGTAACATACCCTAAATACACAAAGGATTATCTATAAAGAAAGAAATAAAGTGCCTCACAAATACAAAGGCAAAAATGACCCCATACAAGAACTACTATGTACAAGTGAGCTAGACTATCTCTTCAAGATATGATGGCCCATATGAAGAGTAGCTTGGACTTAGAAATCCCAATAACCTTCAAGCTAGCCAATCCTTCCTGTATGCTCTTGGCCATAGCTTTGGTGATTGGGCCCTTGGCCCATGGTCTATCAAGATCCAAAGGATTACATAAGTGTTTGACAATTACATTTAATCCCAACCCAATAGAAATCATCTATGCATGATGAGAGCTTTAGTTGATCTAATAAGAACTTACAAGATGGGGAAAAAAGGAATGAATAAGGTGAAGACCCTTGTTCCCAAAGGATCTTTGTCTCCCAAAGCCTCCTTGGATGCTCTATTTTTCTCCCAGGTATCTCTCTCTCCTTCATTCTAAAGTCCTCATTGCTTTCTTTACAATCCCTTATTTATATGTTCTGTGTGGAATAAGAGAAAAAAATCATAATTTTTAACTTCACCGTTGCAGCTCCAAATCACTGCCATAATGTTGGGGGGTTCTTCAAGTTGAAGAAACCTTTTACTATTCGGGTGGTAGGCTGCTGCTAGGGCACTAGTTTATCCTTTGCTCCTCTATCTTATAGAGATTTGGTGCTACAACTCCAACATCACTACTACAACACTAGATCTCTAAAATTCTCTTCCAGCTACCAAATCTTAGTGCTAAAGCACCAGGATAAGCGTTGAAGCGCTAGGTCTTGAACACTTTATGCTCCCATTAATCCTTCACTACTGGAGTGTTGAACAAGCGTTTGAGTGTTGAGTCTTAATTTTTTTTTCTTTTCTTCCTCTAACTATTTCAAAACTCAACCTAGGTTCTCTTGGGTTCTTTTTGCCAAAATTGAGAGAATTTACTTCCTAATTCACCTAACATCTTTTAACATTACTCCTTTGAATTTCTAAGAAAATTTGAAGAGAATTCCACATTAAATATGCTAATTATAAGATGAAATCACATACTCCATGCACTCATCATTAATGGAGTACTAAATAGTTTTCAAAATGTTAAAAAATTTGCATACTTGACTATACATTAAGAACTTTTAATTTAATGGTTGAATCGTTAAAACTTGATATAAAACATGAATTATTAAATGAAAAAATTAAGTAAATTTACTCTTAAAATAAGTGGATATCTTTATATATATATATATATATGTGTGTGTGTGTGTGTGTGTGTATGTATATATTCATAAAAAAAGGTACAAGTAAAATCTTCGTCAATAAAGAGGACAAATCAACAACTAATTAGCCCTTCCATCCCAAGTAAAAGTTTTATAACTCATCATGATATCATAAATATCTAATTAGGAGTGAGCATGATCCAACTTGTGATCACGAATCCAAAGCAATATTTTGTTTCATTGGATATGTTCAAATCTTAAAATTAGACTTAATATATTTTTTTACGATGAATTTATATTATATTTTGACTCGTCCTAACTCATCTTTCATTATTTTTAAACATATAAATTCTTAGAAGAATTATATTTTAATAATAACACTTTTTGTAATAGATATAATATTATATTTATAATGATGTTATTTATTTTTAAATGTATATGGTAAAATATAAATTTATTTAAGTTTTGCATATTTTTTACTTCATAATATATATATATATATTAATATCAATATATTGAATTAAAAGTGACGATTTCAGATTTTAGTTAGGATGGATTCAAATTTAACTAAATAATCTAGTTAATTTTTGAAGCTGAATAAAGACAAAAATAAGGTCATCTCAGCCGTGTTTCTAATAACTAAACTAAAAGACCCCTCCAAGGTCTTTTATACACAAAAGACTCCCTCCAAAAAGATTTATACACAAAAGAGCATCCAAAAAGACTCCCTCCAAGTTAGTGCCCCTAGGCCCTAAATGCTTTGATCCGATTAAAACATAAAAAGCATGTTTATCTGCCACCATATCATGTACATATATGGTGCGGGACTGTGGGAGTGTCATATCCTAAAGTCTCATACTGTTCTTGACTGACGCTCAACTGCATCAAATTGGATAAGTCTCATAGCCCAACGCCTTCACGCATGTGGCCCAGCTCTTCAAGGCCCAACTCTTCAACGCCTGGATTCGATTTTTTTTATTTAAATATTGATAAAATAAAAAACAAAGGAATTATTCTCCCCTCTTCTTACTTAAACATGCTAATTTATCACTCGATAAATTAGACTTAGAAATTATATTTTTCAATGATGATTAATAATAAATATTTCTCATAGTTTTTTTTTTCTCTTTATTATAATATTTTTTGTTGTGAATTATGATACCTTTTAATAATTTATTTTTGAAGTTTAACAAATTATTGTTATATCAGCATATAATTTTTTTGTTATGTTATTTCATATATATATATATATATATATTAATTTTATCGTATCCATACCATATTTGTCTCCGAATCCGTGATATAGCTGCCACCTAAACCATATTGTATAACTCGAACCACATACTTCACAACCTCCAGGCTCACTATAGTGTTTTAATCATTCACTTATTATAAATAAAAATGATTTTATTCAATATTATGGATGCCAATTTAGTAAATATTACCCAATGGCCAATACAATACTGGTTGAAGCAGCACTACCACTACACCGAACGTATTGTGTGGCATAGGAGAAATTACAAACACAAACTAGAAAAGAAAACTCAGGGATTCTAATTTCATATTAATGTTGTAGATAACACAGTGGTTTAAGAAGCCTGTAAAGCTTCTTCTTTGTGCATTAGTCATTACCCTTCATGTGATGGTTCCTTTTTCACCAGCATATAGCACATGGTGAAAAGGATTCCGAATATTGGAACGTAGACTTGAGTGATTGATTTAGCAGATCTGAGAAGCATCAGAATGGCCCAAAACATAAACATAGCACACTGCACGCGAGAGAATGGTGCACCAACAGCGATCATTGCAGCAATACCCCAAACGAACATCATAAAACCCAACATCTCGACTAAAGAGAACCAAATGAAAACATGGCCTTGTTGTTTGTGGAATGGCTGAAGCTGCATGATTGATGAGTGGGTGTATATGTCGAAGATAATCAAAAGAAACACAATTTTTGTAGTCATAAAAGATGAAACACGTTCCACAGTTTTCTTATTTTTTTCCGGACTGAAGGGTTCCCCTACTTCCTCATACTTGTTTAGATTACAACCAGTGGACTTGTCTTGCAGTTGTGAAGTCATTTTGCCTTCATAGGGTTTCAACCTGTGAAGAAGAAGAAGAAGAAAAAGTGAACAACAGATGAACATAAGATAAGAATAATTAGTTAAAGGGGGAAATTAACTGTTAGAATGGATGTGAATAACGTAACATACCTTCCTCCCAAGTCGAGGATCATACCACCAGGATCAAGTAAGAATTTCTTAGATGAACTAACTAAAAGCTTTTTGAATGAAGCCATCAAATTAAAATGTAAGAAATGGAAGTGCTCATTGGGGGCACCACACTTGAAGCAGCTTGAGATCAACAAAACACAAGGTATGTTGTGAGCGAACACAACACGAGCATAGTTTAGTTCTAGTCTTTCCACACGAATAGAAATGTGAAACCGAGAGTTTAGCAAAATGACAGTACCTTCCTGTGGCCCCGGCAATGATGAATGCAGAGTAAGAAAACTCGTTAACCTGCACTTTAGGGAAACTTCAAGGAAAGATGAGCATTGGCAAACAAAGAATTTTACTAAAGAAAAGACAAGACACTCGTTAAATTCTCGAGATTGAAAGTGACACTCTGCGAGTGAACAATAATAGACAATAATCTTACTACTTTTTACATTTCAATATCTATGGTTTTGCTAGGAATTTGCTGAAAAGTGTGTAACTTTATTGCAGAAGATTTTAAGTATTGACTAAAACTAAGAGAAACACTAGCGTGATCAATGGGTGAAGATTCCGTGACACTGACCCCAGACACACAAACGCGTTTGTATTTTGAATTCATGTTGTCCTTTGTAACTTATTTAGTATCAGTGTTTAATTAATTTTGTTAGGGCTTTCACTTTCCATCATTAGTATAGTATAACGTGAACATCCAAATGGAGATTTCTCCTGAATATCAGAACAACACAAGTGAAATAAGCAATGTAACAAGTCATGTTCTCCTGTTGGTTAATTGTTTGTACTTTCCTTGCTGATGGGAACGCATTCAATAACACCTGCCAACAAAACACCAAGCACTTGATCAGAGCCTTACATTTCCAAAGACTTTTTATAACTAGTTGAAAATCCGAAGAGTATCTGAGTTCTCCACCTACCGAGCGTTGTAGCCAAAGGTACACACTTTTCACCAAGAATACATCGTCCTTATCATAAATCCATCTCCAATAGTCTTGCCTTGAAGAGATAACCTGCAAGCCCTGAAGCATATCCAACAAGGTATTCACACTCCTACCTTCATGAACAAAAGGTTCTCTTCTCCAATTAACATGCCACACCCACGTAGATCCCTCCCAAGTTCCATTATCTGCCACCACTGACAACGGGTCCAAGGCAAAGGAGTACAAACGAGGAAAGACATCCAACAAGCGCACACCACCTATCCACTTATCCTCCCAAAATCGGGTCATAGTGCCATCACCAATACAGCGTTCAGTCTTTTCGTCCAACCAAAAATTCCCTTGTTGTAGCACCCCCACTATATCCTTCCACCACCAAGAGGCCCTCCTATCCACATTTGAGCAATTTGAAAAGGACTCAATACGACCATACCTATCATGAAGAACTTTAGCCCACAACATACCCGGAGAGAGCATGCACCTCCACACCCATTTCCCTAGTAGTGCCCAATTGAACAATCTGACATCTTTGATTCCTAGTCCACCCTCAACCTTTGACTTACACACCGTTTCCCATTTTACCCAAGGAATTTTTGAGCCATCCTTGACACCTCTCCACAAGAAATCACGTTGGATGGCCACAATTTCCTTAATCACCGAGTTTGGAGCTTTAAAAAATGAAAGGAAATTGACGGTGACAAAAGCCCAGGACCTGATGGGTTCAATTTTGCTTTTTTGAAGAGATTTTGGCCTCTTATGAAGGTGGATGTGATGGATTTACTTGTTGAGTTTCATACTAACTTGAAGATTCCAAAGGCTCTTCTATCTTATTTTGTGGCTTTGGTCCCCAAGGTTCCTTGCCCTCAAGGTATGACTGACTTTCGTCCTATCTCGTTGCTGGGGTGCTTGTATAAAATTATCTCTAAGGTATTGGCGAATAGATTGCGTGATATTCTTCCATCAATCATCTCAGAGAATCAGTCTGCTTTTATTCCTGGTAGACATATGTTGGACAGTGTTCTAGTTGCTTCTGAGGCTATTGATTACGCTCAGAAATATAAGAAGCCAATTTTTGTTATGAAGATTGATTATGAGAAGGCATATGACTCTGTCGAATGGGACTACCTGTTGTTCATGCTCCGAGGGTGTGGTTTTCACGAGAGATGGGTCCGATGGATGGAAGCTTGTGTATGTGGGGGAAGCCTATCAACCCTTGTGAATGGGAGTCCTACGACAGAAGTATCTATGGGTAGGGGATTAAAGCAGGGTGATCCGTTGGCACCATCTATGTTCTTAATTGTTGCGGAAGGCCTTAGACTGTTGATGAGTAGGGCTTTAGAGATGAATCTGTTTAAGGGATTACACTTAGGCGGTGAAGGTCCACCGATTTCTCTTTTACAGTTCGCGGATGATACTCTGATTATTGGAGAAGCTACTATGCAGAATCTGTGGTGCTTAAAGGCCATCTTGCGCTGTTTCGAGTTAATTTCAGGCATGAAAATTAATTTCCACAAGAGTTGCGTGGTCGGTATTCATTCTGGGGCAGATTTCACTAACTTGGCGGCTACTTTTTTACATTGCAAGGTGGGTCAACTACCATTTAAGCATTTGGGCTTACCTCTTGGTGCTAATCCTAGGAAGTTGTCTACTTGGAAACCAATGCTTGATGGCTTACGAAAGCGTCTATCCTCTTGGAAGCATAAGTATTTATCCATTGGGGGGAGAGTGTCCTTAATTAATTCGGTTTTGAATGCTATGCCCATCCATTTCCTTTCATTTTTTAAAGCTCCAAACTCGGTGATTAAGGAAATTGTGGCCATCCAACGTGATTTCTTGTGGAGAGGTGTCAAGGATGGCTC